GCTATGGCTGTGGAGCGCTGCATTGGAGTCACTAAGCCTATCTTCCACTCCACAGTGTTGGCCTCACACCACATGAAAAGGCTCCTTGGGGTCACCTGGCTGCTTGCTGCACTGGTGGCTGCGCTGCCTGTAATGCTGTCGAAGCCCTACAAGGTTCAAAGGTCCAGGAGCTGGTGCTTTTTCCTTATCGGGCAAACCAAAGACTGGCTGGATGTGCTCCTGCCGCTGCTATTTTCATTGCTGGGGCTGCTGGCACTGCTGATCTCCATTGCCTGCAACACGCTAACAGGCTGTGTTCTAATACAGGCCAAACTGCGCCACAAGCATCACTGCAGAAGCATGCCTTATCACATAGAGATGATCTGCCAGCTCCTGGCTATCATGCTGGTGTCCTGCATATGCTGGGGCCCATTACTGGTAAGACCTCCTCAGCACACCTTTAACAGACAGTTAAAAATTACAGGGAAAAACGAAAAATTACAGAGCGTAGAGTGACACTGAGGAAGCTAAGCTGGATTTGTTCCCTGCCACCTAAAGCCTTTCCATATATCTTTGTTAAAGCAGTGTTATGTTGCATTTCTGATCATTAAACTACTGCTGTTGGTCAGTGTGTCCATGATGCATTTTGAAGATGAGTAAGTACATCGACATCACAGCAATAAGGGGAGTTTTTTTTTTAAATACTAGAATTGTTAGCAAACTTAACAGCTGCTTACTGGAGGTCAGAACAAGAAACCACATCACACTCCCACAACAATAGAAGCCTAACTGAGCATAGCTGAAATATTAATGACAGCAATACTAAATGAATGAGATTAAATTAAATTGAGATTAAATATTACCAGTCATCTGATTCTTTGCAGCATTAGTATTTATTTAATTAAAAATTCCCAAATAAAACAATAAATTAAATTACATTAAAGTCAATGTAACCAAGTAAGATTAAAAGGTTCATGTCAATTAGATTAAACACACAAATTTAAGTAATGTTTGCATTTTCACAGTAGTTTAATAACAGTGTTATCATAAAAAAATAAAAGTAACACTGAAACAAATGAAAACTAACCCAATACTGAACATTTAAACTGAAATTTAAATTAAAAAAACACTGAATTAAAAACAAAAACTCAAAATAAAATTTAAAAAAGTGCAATAAATGTGATAGGATGAAACCATTTGGAAGAAAATCGATTGCAGAAGCATGAGCATGAAGACAGAGAGACGAGTCATCATAATGCAGACTCCCAGATAAAGGTGGTGGAGAGTAACATGACCCCTATAAGCGAGCGGTGATGGAGCCGAGTGTGATTGGTGACGGGGGTTTTCCATCGAGAGGCCTTTAAAAATGACAATAATATGGAAATGAGAAGGAGGGAAATGAAACAGAGGTGATGAAAAAATAAGCAGAAATAATAGCTGTTATCACCAAAAGGAACGGAGACAGAATGTGAGAAAACAGATCCTACTATACCCGAGCATGTCTGTGGTGCCCTCTGCAGGCTCTGTTTGTCTGTCTTTGCATTTTAAAGGGTTTGATACAAACAGGTTTTTCTCCACTTCCATCACTGTTCTTTTCTATCCTTGTCATCATCATGTAAAAGATGTCTGATGTTTAATTGTTGTACACTGGTGGAAATCAGCAAATGTATTAATTAAGGACTTGTGATGCCAAGCAATAGATGCCAGACAAGCTGAACAATATGGCAGCTGCTTTGAAGACTCTTCCAAAAAATCATGGTTTTGAATTATTATTCAAATTAAGCAATTCTAATATTTTTAAAAAAAAGAAAGTAAATGCTTTGAATTAGAGATCTCTTAATAACAACAAAGATGCAAAATTGCACACACTAATCTTACCTCGTTTTTCCTGTAACTTCCCAGCCAGTCTATCACAACCAATCTAAAATTGTTTTCTATTAAAGTATTTGATAAATATTTAGAATAACTGTTTTTCTACCACTCCAATAGATCCATGTCACCATTCTGAGTACCAGAGCCACGGATGAGTCTCCGTCTTTTAGTCTGCTGACTATACGCATGGCTACGTGGAACCAGATCCTGGACCCGTGGGTCTACATCCTGCTGAGGAAGGCTGTTCTCAGGAAAATCTTCGTGTTGCTTCACGGCTGTTGTGGCTCGAAATTTTACACCCTCCATCGGTGGCAGCGCAGTATGCTCCACAGCTCAGCGGAGACCAGCAGCTCCAGTGGGTCATCTGATTGCCGCTGCCTCGGTAAAACACCTGTGCATGATGTTGTCATCAAATCCATCACCTGAACCCTGTCCTGAGTCTTTTATCTGAGAATGCCAAGGTGCTGAAAAACAAAAGGAAAGAAAATCATTTGGAATACTAGAAGGACATTTCTAAAGAACGCTTATCCTAAGGTCAATTTTAAAGTGACCCAGGTCCAAAACAAAATTCCTTTGATTCTTCCTTTGCATGCGCTCTTCCTCTTTGCAAAGTTTCATCCCATTTCAGCTCCTGCAGATGAATAAGACGCACTGAGACACTAGAAGACTATCAAAAATGCACTTACACAAACCACAAATGTTTTCTTGTAACATTTGCAAAATGATCACCATGAATTGTCACTATTACTGTATATTGTGGTATTGACTTTTTGTTCTAAACTTTTAGCCCCGCGTTCTGCATCAGGGGCACTAGACAAGTTCTATCAAAAACTGTCACAGTGTTAGAGACGAACTAACAGTCACTGTTAAGTCGTAGACATTGTTTTATTCATTCCTGGCTTTGGTCCACGTGCAGCTCCAGCCTGTGTCTTTGCACTACTATTTATTGATTGTGACTGAGTCTTCTTTGACCTTACATGTTAACTTTTTATTATAAGGATTCCAGTATAATGTGTTAATCATTTGGTTTGCACAGATGTGCAAGAGACAATAAGCGTGCAAAAAACAAATGATCATCCTCCACCACCATGCTGACATCAGTATGATGTCTTTGTGCTAATATTGTGCTGTACTTAGTTTTCATCAAACATGGCTGTGCATTGATGCCAAACATCTCTACTTTGGTGCTGTCTGTCCAAAGCACATTATTCAAGAGGTCTTGTGGTTTGTTCAAATGCGACTTTGCAAACTTAACCCATGTTGCTTTCATGCTTTTAAAGAGAAGAGGCAACCCTGGCATTTAGCAGGACCAGAAGCAGTAAGGGTATACCGGTACTTAGGTTTTCAGAGGACTGTTTTACCTGAAGCAAATATTTTGTGCTGAAAGTCTAGTTGATGTTTAAAACAAGCTTTTCCCAACAATTTCACCACGACAGTAAACTTTTGCTCATTGAGTGTTTTGAATGTCATCAAGTGTTTTCTTTTTTTACAGTGTGTGAGCTGTTAACGTGATGGTGTATACTGTACCAGCCTTTAAACAATTTAAGCCTGCATTATGTTATAACATGGACCAATTGAAAACATGATTTTTGCCTGTATCAGTATGTTTGATGTTTTAAATGGTTCGGGTGAGTGTTGTGCTTTTCTTTCAAAGTGTTGTAAAGAATGATCAGAGTAAGAAGTTTCTGATTGAAGCATGTAACGCTGCATTCAAGTGTGATCATGATCAGATCGAAAGCAGATGTTTTGAGAGGATCGTCTTTCAGCAGTAAGTAGTCTGCTGGTAGGTGCGTTATTACTTTGTAAATGTGATTTTTTCGCACCGGTGCTTCTGCATCATGACACTTTTTTTTTTACAAAACAACACAAAACTTTCCAATGTGTTTGTCCTGTACTGTGTAATAAAACGGAAAATGGAAAAACAAACCATAAACATTAAAGAGAAAATGGTGAAAATGTTTTTTTTAATGCGTTGTAGTCAAGATAATGTGAGTTCACAGCAAGGTTTTCTCCACCCTAAACATCTTTCGAGGACAGAGTGCGTCTTGTTTTAGCCCCAAGGAGTCTGAAATATGAGACTAGAATAGGCAAGAAATCGGTGATTTCTTAGTATAAATTATTATGTATTTTGAAAAAGAATGGATTTTGCTGCTTTTGTGAGTGTAATTTTAAAACGACATGTTATTATTTAGTTAGTTATTACATCCCATCTGTTGACAAAACAGAAATATGAGATACAATCTTTACTTTGAGTGTCCTGAACTGTAGTCTTATAACATTGCTTTAAGCACTGTAGACGTCTACTTACATTCCACTCCAAGCTCCACTCTGTCACTTCATGCAGAACTTTATAAATGGGCACACATTGTTTGATTAACAATCGTTTTCAAAAGCAGAACTGGAAATGGACTAACATCACACATTCACACAGCGCTTATTCTCTACATTTGGGTTTGAATTAACATTAACATGCATGTTTGCATGTTTTAGGACAGTGGATGGAAGACGGGGTACTTGGAGGAAACCCATGAGTGAGAACATGAAAACTCCAGACAGAACGGCCCTGGTTGGGGTTTAAACCAGGAACCACAACAGCACCCACCTCAACATGTTTAAGTCTCTCACTAAGCCTGTGGTTCAAGACGAGCTCAGTTAGTCAGAACAGCAGAACAGCAGATGAAAACAGGGGATACATGAATAAATAAGCCTGCTACAGAAGGCCATAAAAACAGACGTTTGCTTCCATCCATGCTTAACGTAGCACTGTTCACTGGGAAAAATGCATTTGCAATGACAAACCTGCAACTGTGCAGTTTGTGACTGAGTGAGTTTTTCAAAGTTAGATTTATCAGGCATCAGTGAAAAGTCCCACACACATACTAGCGGCCACACGTTGTTCCCACACTCGTCATGCAATTTTTGTTTGTTCTGTAATATTGACTATAAGGGGACATGTACACGGGTAATAACCAGAGTGGCTTCAGTTTCCCACACTGTGGTCCAGTCCGCTGACAGTGTCGCTTTACAGTTATTAGTGTAGTTTTAAACAGCATCCCATAGGTGGCAGCACGACACCAAATCCCTCCCGCTGGTCGGAGACGAAGAAGGGGTGGGACGGTGGGGGGGAGATCAGCCATATGATGTGTGACGTCATCTCTTCCTCATCACCTCCATCTTTCGGTGCCGCATGCCTCTGTGCTTAATGGAGCAGGCTCGTTCCCGTAGATGCTGGCTTTTGTGAGAGGGGTGCGGTTTTTGCGGCCCGTGCGGTTGTTGGTTTGCGGACGGAGCGCAACTGCCGGCGCGAGCGGAGCAGCGATACGGTGTGTGTTCACTGTGGGCCGAGTGTTGTGTTTTCATCTCAGCAGCTGTCTGAGACGCGCGCGCGCACACACACACGCGCGTCTGCTGTCAAGTTAGTGTCAGCTCTGGAGCTACAGATACAGTTGTATCTGCTACATCTAGCTTTCCTGTCTCTTTAACATCTCTATTCTCTCGCCTTGTTTTTATGATAATGATAATAATAGTAATAATAATGATATTTTTCCGTATTTTTGTAACATTGCTCATATTGTTGCAGCAAATACTCCTGTTGTTTTAAAAATAAATGTATTTTGTCTTTATTTTTTCCTCCTATAGTTGAGAACATGAATCAGGAGAAACTGGCAAAACTTCAAGCCCAGGTGCGGATAGGAGGAAAGGTAAGTTGCAAAAATGAAGGGATTTTGATTGCTGAGCTGGTACAGCATCACCTAGGACACATTAAGCAGGGTGGTAACCTTGCTTAACATTAACCAGTTACTGCTCTTTTTTAAAGTCTTTTTTTAATTGTGTTGCCTGCAGAAAATAAGCACTGATTGGACAATCAAATTGGTTGATTAAAAACAAAAGAAAAAAATGAATCAAGTATTCATTAAAGTGCCCATTAAGTGGTGTATTAAAGTTCTGATATAGGATAATTTTAATAATTTATGTATTTTATTACAGTTTTTCCTAATTTTACACAATAAAAAGCTTGATCATATCAATCCTTTTAAAAAAGTTGCCTCATTCTCCTCACATGCAAAGTTTTTAATAGTCTGGCCCGTCATCTTTTAAAGATGCAGGACTGCAGGCTTACTTGTGGTTCCTGGAGTTTCTGAAAGTAGAATAGGAGGCAGATCTCCTTCCAGCTCCCAGTTTGGATTCATAGACAGACTCTCTCTGCCTTTAAGGTTAGACTCAAAACTTTCCTTTTTGATACAACTTAGTTAGGGATGGCTCAGGGGACAGTAAACCATCCTTTAGTAATGCTGCTATAGGTCAGACTGCTGCAGAACTGCATGTGATGCACTGAGTGCTTCATCTCTTTGTGTTTATACACCGCTGCAACATGTCATTATATTTTTATCTCCTCTTCCTCAGTCTGGTTTCTGTCTGGTCTCCCTGTGCTCTCCTTTTCTGTTCTCTTCTCTTTCCTCTCACCCTCCCTATTGCTTGTGGCAGATGGCTGGCCCTCTCTGAGGCTGGACCTGCTGGAGGTTTCTTCCTAATTAAAGGGAGGTTTTCCTTCTCACTGTCATAAGTGCTCGCTCAAAGGGAGTCACTTGATTGTTGGGGTTTTCTCCAGTTCTGCCTCTAGACACAGAATAAAGTATCTAGACGAAACTGCTGTTGTGAATTGGGACTACATATATATATATATGTATATATATACATATATATATATGAACCTGAACTGATCAATAGAATTGAAATTATCATCTGATAAAACTCTTTCATGGCATGCATTTTTCATTTGTCTTTACTATTTGGGCTGATTGGGACCCGATAAATCATAACAAGACTTGAATCAAGACACTTTATATTGTACAGACCTTACAGTAATAGACAGGAAGCAGAGAAAACCATGATATGAGGGCACATGTTAGGGAAGTCCATCAGCCTTTCACGGCTTATGTGTGCTATCGTTGTCACCAAGTTCTCAAGTTTGTGAACTTGAGTACCAAGCAACGTAGGATTTAAATTGATACCATGTGTACCTACTAAAAAACTTGGACGAGTTTGAATATCGGTGACGTCGACCTCAAGGTTAAGTTTGTATGTCGGACTTTAAAATGTATTTATTGACAGGTGTCTCTACTAGGAGGCTGAGGGGTACTGCTGGCACTACTGGTATTTTTTGTGTCTGAAAGAAAAAAATATCAGCTGATATAATCGAATATTAGATTTTTAAATGACCACTAGTATCACTCTTATATCGATTAGGCTTTACTTTTAATCCTCGAATGATTAATTCATAATAATTCAGAAAATTCTGTCAATTGACAAATAGATGAATCCATTATTTGTTTTGTATCTAGCGGCATGATTTGGATTCAGTATGTGATTTAATCTCTAACCCATTATTTCTTCTAATCTTTAACCATTTATATTACAGTGAATGGCCCCCCTATGCCCTTATTAGGGGTGTGAATTGAAAACCAGTTTCAAAGTTGTCTGCTGTTATTGGTGTTGACATGTTTTGTTTTGAGATGATAAAACATTTGAGTTGATGCTGTATATACCTTCTTAATCCCCCCCCCCCCACACACACACACACATGCAAACTGCGAAAAAAGATCAGCCCATGCACTTCCTCTTGATTGAAGCTAAAGTCTTTTTTATAACTGATTAACTCACAATGGTATTTTTATGCAACAGGCTCTGATCTCTCTAGTTGCACAGTAGTTTACTTTTGGCTTCAGGGTGACTGGCTAGGCAGGGAAGAAAGCTGAAGACATCATTTCACTCTGTAAAAGGTTAAATGATGACTAAAACTATTAGTGAAAGTGTAAGTGGTAAGCAATCAGAACCGGACAGAGGATTTAAACACAATATTTTGTAACTAGCCAAACGTTTTCTGTCGCTGTATTTTTCTCCTTTCTTCTGTTTCTAAGTCACAGCCTATGACTTAGAAGAGTGTTGATCTGATTGTATGTTTTATGTTCTCAGGGCACTGCACGCAGGAAGAAGAAGGTGGTTCACAGAACTGCAACAGCTGATGACAAAAAGCTTCAGAGTTCACTGAAGAAGTTTGCTGTCAACAATATTGCTGGCATTGAGGAGGTAAACTGACGTAGGTGAATGTGCGGTCGTGTAGAGCAGACCACTGTTTAGTTTTTCAAAGGTATCAATAACGTGCATGGACTTGGGTGACTTGAAAGAACTTGGGTGATCTTTTCTCCTCAGGTGAACATGATCAAGGATGACGGGACTGTGATTCACTTTAACAACCCCAAAGTTCAGGCCTCTCTATCCGCCAACACCTTTGCGATCACCGGCCACGCTGAGACCAAACAGATGACAGAGATGCTGCCCGCCATCCTCAGTCAGCTTGGAGCAGACAGCCTCAGCAGCCTGCGCAAGCTCGCAGAACAGTTCCCTCGGCAAGGTGGGTCGCCCTTCAGGGCTTTGATTTTTATTACATTGATTTTATGTTCATTTTTGGTATCAGCTTAACTTGTTTGTACCAAAAAGGATAAAAGAGGTAGGAGACACAAAGTTTACCTGTTAAGTAGACGCCTAAACTTTTTCCTTTTAGTTGGGATTCATTTTCACTCGCTTCCTTTTTGGGAGGATAATTTGTAGTTGATTATACTTTGATTCATGGGAAAGAAATTCTTGCAGCAGCTCATGTGCAAAATATTCACACCCTCTTTCCAAAGCATTTACAGCTTCTGGTTTTCTTGGGTAAGGCTCTACAATCTTTGTCCACCTGGAAATGTGCAGTTTATCCAGTTCTTCCTGGTTCCTGGTCCTGATTCTAGGAATGGTTCAGGTGGTCAAGTGCTTCTTGGAACAGTTAAAGCCACATTAACATCACAGAGGTCGCTTGAGAGCCGTGCGACCTTGTGGTGGCTTCTTCGTCTTTTTTTTGTCTTAACATTCAGTGTATATGCAGGTTTCTGACTTTCTAAGCTGCTGCATGACCCGTCAGTTCAGTTTGCTCCATTTGAACCCCGGTCAAGTTCTAGGCAAAGAAGAGCTACAACACAGTTAAATATGCAAAATCCACTTTATACTTAATATTTACTTTTCAAGGTGAAGCAAATCTTTTAAAGATGAGTTTTTCCAGATGAGCCAAGATGGTATAAACATATACTGGCCACTTTATTAGGTCTTTAACAAACATATCTAAGCAGCCAATCACTTGAGAGCAAGTCAGTGCATTTAGGCACAGAACCAAGCATCAGAGTGGAGAAGAAAGGTAAAAGTGATTTTGAACATGGCATGGTTTTTGGTGCCATGCCATGAAAACGTTTGTCTGAGTATTTCAGAGGCTGCCGATCTACTGGGATTTTCCCGCACAAGAAGGTAATCTCTAAGGGTTTACAGAGAGTGGTCTGAAAAAGAGAATATATCCAGTGAGTGGTAGTTCTCGGGATGAAAATGCCCTGTTAATGCCAGAGATCAGAGGAGACTAGCCAGGCTGCTTCAAGCCAATAGAAAGGCAACAGTAACTTGTTAGAATCAAGTTTTGCAACAAACAAAATCATCTCTGAACCAGCAACCTGTCAGCTAACAGCAGGAAGCTGAGACTGCGATTCAAACAAGCTAAGGCAATAAACGACTGGAAGAAATGTTGCCTGGTCTAATAAGTCTCAATTTCAAGTGATATGAGCCAATACTGGCATATCATAGAGATCAATACCAGCATATATGATAGAAAACTCAGCTCAAAAAAACCTCTCACCTCTGTTTGCCAAATACAGAGACAAGCGGTGTCTCCACATGCCACCAGTGCAGTTTCAGTGCTCCTTTCATTGATTCTTCAAGTCTCTGGGCCTCATTGTTCTGAAAGCTATTCCCTTATTGTGGAGAATGCTAACATGGTGATGCCAAAGGCCACTGCCGATGATCCATCGCTCATGGTTTGTGAATGGAGTACTGTCATACTGGAAGAGAACACTCGTATACAGATATGCTTCATCATAGGTTAAAAGTCATTATTTGAGGCAACTTTCTATCACTTTCCAGCTAAAATGTGTTTTTTGTGCATTTCGTCTTAGCTCTTGAAAGCAAGGCTCCAAAGCCAGAGGACATTGAGGAAGAGGATGATGATGTGCCAGGTATGCAGTGTCACATGAATAAAAAGAAGAATGATCAGAATGAAAACTTAGAGACAGCTACACTCTGTTAAATTTTCATCGTAGTATAGAAGATTGCTCTTTTTACTCAATTTAAGTCAATTTGCTCTTTTGAATATTTTTCTGCAGCCCTGAAAAGTTACTACAGTTGAACTCATGTATGTGACTTTAGATTGTTCCTCTAGTTTAACTATTTAATGCTGTGCTTTTGCTGTTCTGTAGATCTCGTGGAGAACTTTGATGAAGCATCAAAGAACGAGGCAAACTGACATAAAAAATTCACTGGACTGAAGTGGAGCCTCCGTCTGTCTTTTTGAGTGTAGTGATCCGGGCATATCAGACAGTATCTCCAAATATATCCCACAGTTCCAATGACCTACAGATGTCTGAGTCACACACTAGCACTACTAGGTTGTGTATTTAAAAAAAAGAGAGAGAGAAAAGAATAAGAACCCAACACTCATCTGGTAAACGGTGAATCTCTTCCACACTGATTACTGTGGTCTTTAAAGCCAGTCTTAAGAGATTTTTTGTGTGTTTTGTTTATGAAACAAAAAAGACGTTTAACATTTTTTTTAAATGATGCTGTGATCATTGTGAATGTTTTTATCAATAAATCAAAGAATTGTGTGCAGATTCATGTGAAAAGAAGCCTCATCAGTTTCCTACAGAATGACAGGTCGTGCATAAGGCTGGATTTTTATGTTTGGCACCTTAGCTCTGCTGTCTTGGCTTGTACACCGTCCTGCGGGCTGTGTGGACAGCAAACTGGGGAGGGACATTTCTGCACACCTCTTGAGTTTCTTCAAAGAGCTGCAGAGAGGCACGGGGGAGGAGGGAGATCACACAGAAGGGGGGGTAAGAGAGAGGCGAAATCATCCCATCTTTCGCTTGTGAGCAAGGCACTGCTGCTTGAATCCATTTTCCTCCGCGCTCAGATGTAACAGGATAAAATGCTGAAGTTCTTCACAGCGCGGGATGATGAGAATGAAAGCCTTTTGGGAGCAATAACTGAGGGTAAGACGTTTGATTGCTCTGGAAATACCGGGGTGGGAATGCGTTTACTCCCATTCATTGCTTGTGCGCGCGCGCTTGTGTGTGTGTGTGTGTGTGTGTGTGTGTGTGTGTGCCGCTGAAAAAACGCTGATATAACACTTGGCTGCGCGCATAGACCGCGTCATCTGAAAAGCGCGTGCGCGTATGTGTGCGTGTTGCGCACTTTCGCGTGAACACGGGCTGCTTACATACATACTCCACTGTAGCCTCACTCAGCGTCACCTCAATAAAGTGTCCCGGCTGATCCGGTGTACCGGGGTGCGGGGTGAATGTCGCATTGCCTCCGGCCTCTGTGCCCGCGAGCACATTAAACATTTGCACGTGTGTGGAATGCGTCACTGTCCCGGGAAGTGAGCGCTCAGTGAGCCGGATCGGTGCAGGCAGGCACGCCGCTGTTTCGGGAAGTCTTCACTTTGTTGCCTTCGGTAGAAATGACGCCGCCAGCTTTTTATTTTTTCTTCATGTTTTTTAAGGATGGCTTTCTGTTGTAAATGAGCTGCAGTGCAGTTTAACGTGTACAGTTAGTCAGTAGCGCCCAATGTTTTGACGAGACTTTCAATCGAATAATCAAATACATGACGATCTGCATTTAAACCTATAAGAGCCTTATCCCCTTAAACCGGCCTATTCAGGAAACGCTGGTAGCTCAATGAAACATCAGTTGTGCATACATTAACTCCCTTTGCGCTGCCAGCTGCTAATGTGCTGGGAAGGGCATTGAATCAGTAATTGGCTGTAATTACGGGAGGTGTTCTTAATGTAGAAACCTTGAATGGAGTGATTGCAAATCAAGCGGCTTACTTGCATATTTTTATTCTGAAACATGCAATAAACACAGTACTGTCACTTGAAACATCTTTTATTTGTTCATTACACATATTTAACATCCGCCTCTGTGTGTGTATTTGTGTTTGTGTAACAATATGGCTCAATATAAGGAAGCAGCAAAGGTTTTGACACGTCTAAACACAAAGTTACTGCTCAACTTTTTGTTCTCTAGGGAACCAGCTGCTATATGGTATCATTAATCTCTTGTACAACTACCACTGGCTATTTTGATCATCAGACACACCTCTCAAGGGCAACCACACTAATGCTGCCATTAGTGAGGGCTGAAATCTAGAAGATGTCTATTTAACAGTGAACAGCTTTTTCGCCTTAATGAGCAGGCAGGACGTGCATCATTGTATGTGCTAGTGTGTGTATGTTTGACAGATAGAGAGATGGAGATGCTGACTTTCCCTTCTTGCTGGTGATATCATTATCATTGAAACAGATGAAGGGGACAGTACGTCTCTTCAGGACACCAAGCACCACTGGCTGAACAGACCCTGTCTGCTGGTGCTCAAAGATGGAGATGTGTCAAAACCTGCACTGGACTGTAGAGAAATCAGACCGCAATCTCCATCTAAAGCCACATCGGATGCGACGCTCAGAAGCAAATCTGGACCTTGTGAGCAGAAACCTATTGAACATCCCACTGAATCTGCTTCCCAAGTGGTGAATGGCAGCTGCACTGTGACTTCCATCTCTACATGGGGTGAAAAGGAGTCCCCCAGCCCTCTGGTGTTGGGCCCAGCAGAGGCCGCGTGGGCAGAGGAGGAGGAAGAGAAGAACCAGGAGTCGCCGGTTCTCCCATCAAAGGAAGACTCTGTGATTGAGGAGAAGGAGCGGGAGGAAAGTGGGCTGGAGCAGCAGGATGAGACCTGCAGCTTGGAGGGACCATCTCGAGGAGATCAGACAAACACCAATAAGGCTGGGGCAGGCCGCGGGGAGGAAGCGATGGGTGAGTGCGCTGCTTCTCCTGTGGATCTCGATGACATGTCTGAGACGAGCCCCGTTGGCATTCTGTCCAAGGATCGAGTCACTGTTCTTGGTGAGGTGGCCCCCGTGTGGGTCCCCGATGCCGAAGCGCAGGTCTGCATGAAGTGTGGTATCAAGTTTACATTCACCAAGAGGAGGCACCACTGCCGTGCCTGTGGGAAGGTAAAAAAGGATTTAAAAGTTCATTTTCTGTGTAATTAAATCTGAAGTGAAATAAAATTAGCAACTTGATAGTTGATAAGTGGAGTGTACGTGTGTGTCTCTGTTCATGTGTGGTGTGTGTGCATGTGTGTGTCGTCAGGTTTTTTGTGCACTTTGCTCCAGTTTGAAGTTCAAACTTACACACCTGGATGGGAAGGAGGGACGAGTGTGCATTTCCTGTCATTCAGCACTCATTAAAAGTGAGCGTAATATTTTTTTAGGTATTGCTGCAGTTGTATTTTTGAAATCATGCAGAAATCATTCTTGTATCCTCTCTTCAGGGATGTCTCCAAAAGGAAAAAGAAGGGTGTGGTTCGCAGACGAAATCCTCACCAATAAGCATTCAGAGTCTGCCCCGACCACACCCGTCAGGGAGCCCGCGTTCTCACCGCTGATGAGTCGAGTGCTGGGTGGGCCTGTTAAAAGTCCTGTGGGTTCACCCCAGATCAGGAGAACTTTGAGGCCACATGGAACAATGATTGGTGTAGGTTCACCCAAAACGTGCCACTAAAACTCGACTACAGGGAAAATGTTGTTGTTGTTCTGTGATTTAGAGGAAAATGAATGATATATGTATTCTCACTCTGCCTCCCTTCAACTCCAGGAGGCCTGTGGTCCCTACGGCTGGGGAACCACAGCTTTAGTGAGCAGCTCTGCTAACCTCATTCCCTTGGATGGTTTGCCACCCATACTCACCTCCACAGGAGTCAAAGGAGGTAGGGCTAGCTCGAATTTAGAGTTTCAAAGTGAAAAGTAAACTTATTGTGTTTCCTCCTCAGATCCAGATACTTCTTGTTTTTCATTATATTCCTCCCCTTTTGTTAATGCTTTCATGTCTTGCATAGTGCATGGTGCAAATATTGATGGCGGGTCACAAAGAAATAGGAGTTCTATGTAAATTGGGCAGCCCATGGCAAGGGGAAAAAATGGTCTCTGATTTTGAGCAGTTAATAGTTTAGTGAAAGCAGCAATTACAGATTCACACTGAATAAATTAGTGGTTCCTCATTTTTTTCTGCTCACCCTCCTTTGCCTATAACATTCCCCATAGTTAATACAGAAAAACAACTTCGGCGTGCAAAAAAAGAAATGAGGAACAAGTGACTCTGTAAAGTGTCCATCTTGTTCCGCTACTTGCTGTCAGAAGCTACTATTTTATGACAAGAAAAACACAGTGTTCTCTCTCCATAGCCCACTGTGGTGAAGCCAAGATTTGCCTCGACATTTTTTCTAGGCTTTGATGTTTGGATGGTTAGTGCAGCTTTTTTTTTTCAATCTTATTTAAGCATTAACCAACAGTACCTTTCACAGACCTGTCCATGGCTTGCTTTCAGGGCAAATGTTGTAATTGTAATTTAGCTTCACTGCCCCTCCCCTTTTTATAACTCTTATCCCATCCAAGGGAACCACTGACCAGAAACTAGCACCTTTGTTTTGGTTTAAGCACTAACCAGAAGGGACAACTACAGCAAGTATTACATATATGCATGATTTCCACCCATTAATCTAAAGAGCCAGTTCCTAATTTCACAATACCAAATATGCATGATGAATCTGTATATGTCTTTATGTTACCAACAACTTGAGCCACATTTGACTACTTTGCTGTAAATAATTCCAAATATTTTTTTCACGCTCACTCAGCTGCTCTAGCTTGTGCACATGCTCCGATGCCTCTTTGCTGCTCTTTGTGATTGCATTGTTTAAGAGAACCAGGCAATCCTTCCACATGTGTGGTCCTTATTTATTTATTTATTTATTTATGTGTTGGGTGTTCTGACTTACTACACTCGAATGCTGCTACTTTAATTTATTACGTGGACACTGCAATGCCTGGTTAAATGGGGCAGTCCCAAGGCATTAATAAAACTGATCTGTTATTAATAACAGCTACCTGCTACTTGCCATCTTATTTAGAGCCACACTCTAATATTAATCTTTAATCTAATACTGGGCTGTTTTTTGTGGTGAGTAAGAGTAGATTAGAAAACACTTTAAAAGATGTTCTAATCTACCCCCCAGACTACACTGTGGAGGAGCAGCCCTCCGAGATGCTCCTTATTCAGGAGTTGGAGAGCGGCAGACCCAAGCCTCTGGTGTTTGTTCTCAATGCTAACCTGCTCGCTATGGTGAAGTTGGTCAACTGTGAGTATCTTTCCCCTCTTGCCTTTTACTGTGCATTATGAACTGCATACAGAACTTAATGTACACATTTAAAATTGAGCAGTGTCAAGAATTACATCACTATGCAGAAAATATTTTGATCATTTTTTAAAATTTTAAATATAACTTCTGAGTATATATTTCTACCTCTTACATCTTGTATTTGTTGTTTAAAATGTCCATATGTGACTGCCAGCTTGTGCTTGATTTCCCTGATTAGACGTTAACAGGAAGTGCTGGTGTGTGACAACAAAGGGAATGCACGCTGTAGGGCAGGTGGAGCTGGTGGTGCTGCTGCAGTGCCTACCTGAAGAAAAAAGCTTCCCCAAAGACATTTTTAGGCACTTCATTCAGCTGTACAGAGACACTTTCACAGGTCAGAGACATTACAAGCCCATACACAGAATATTATCAGTCTCTACTTCACGACTGTAGTATTTCTTCCCTCTTATAATAACACGTGTTTCGATATCTTTATGTTTCTGTAGGGAAGGTTGTGAAACACCTGTCACTCTCCCTGTTTGGCAGCAGCTTCTTTGGCAGTCAGGATCATGCAGGCTTCCTGTACGTTCGCTCCACTCTCCAGTCCCTTCAAGGTCTACCTCTGCCAAACCAGCCCTACCTCTTTGGCCTGCTGGTCCACAGAGCAGAGGTGGCCTGGGCCAAAGCCTTTCCCTTGCGCCTCATGCTGCGACTGGGGGCTGAGTACAGATGTAAGCCAGGCAACTATGCAAGCTCTCTGAGTTATAATGTTTCTTCCCCAGTTACCCACTTTCTGTCTCTTGTTCCAGTTTACCCATGCCCTCTGTACAGTGTACGCTTTAGGAAGCCCTTGTTTGGGGATATAGGTCACACAATAATGCGACTGTTAGTGGTGAGTATGGCATTTTGTAACATTTTTTTGTGTTGTTGCAAAACCGCCCTTCCTGTCAGCAGTGGAAGTTTGGTGTCACAACTTTTATTAAACATGATGTAACAGACACCAGATCTTTTTACCATTCTGCTTTGTTCCAGGACTTTAGGAATTACCGTTACAGCCTACCAGTGGTATCGGGGCTCACTGTGGACTTAGAAGCTCATAGGACTTGCATAAAAATACCGAACACTGGGTATAATGAGGTAACACTAAGCCTCACAGAGTTAACTCTTACATATAGTTTCTTTCTCTATCATTTACCCGTGTTATCTCCCATGTTAGCTAATGAAGGCTGTGAATAAGTCCAATGAGCATGTGCTGGCAATAGGGGCATGCTTCAATGACACTGCAGACTCCCACCTCATCTGTGTCCAAGCAGACGATGGCCAGTATCAGACCCAAGCCATCAGCATCCACAATCAACCACGTAAAGGTAACAACACAGTTGTTGGGGCAGGAAGGGACACATGGAAAGTTTTGATCAGCTAATATGAAAATCTGAAATTACTTTATTTAAGATGAACAAATGAGGCTAAAACAGCAGCTAAAAGTATAGTAGTACTAATACTTCTCCAGTTTTGTTAAACGACGAGGATCTAATAAATCAGCTAAAAGATATGCATAAGCTTGAAACAGCTAAGCATGATCGATAAATGATCAATGAAATCTTATCGCTTACAGTAAATCTTTAGCTGAATATACTCCAGAGAACACTGGAAGCAAAGAATAGATTTTACACATTTCAAATTTAGAAGGCATTCAAGTAAATTTGCTGCACAAACTGAATGGATTCTGCACAACAAAAACATTGTGCAAACCCACTGAATATTATTACAGTGCATCTAAACATATGTAGCTCATGGAACTGCATATAAAACAAAACAGTTGTGAACTTAAGTGCAGCGGCGCAAAAGTAGGAGAAAATTCGAAAATGAAAGAACAACAGTGGTTCGAGATGTTAATCGCGGCCAGTTCCAGTTATGTGACTCTAGGTGGCAGTGCATGCACTTGTAGTTTTTGCCTTGTCACTGTAAAGACTGATCAAAATGACATTCATTCCTTCCTTCCTTCCTAGTTACTGGATCATGCTTTATTATATTCAGTAGTGCGCTGAAAGCGTCAGCAGGATACCTGGCCAAATCCAGCGTTGTAGAAGGTAGGATACCCTCTGACCAGAGAAGCCAGGTTAACCATTACTTTCTCCTCACCTCCATCATTTACATTTTAAGTAGAGCGCCCCTGCTTAAACTGGCTTATTCAGAATTTGTTGATCTTTGTATGTGTGTGTCTGTGTACATTTTAACAGACTGTTTGTCTAGGCGTGTGTCTCCCCATTGGTGTGTGTTTGTGTGTGTTTCTCCTGTATCGCTGTCCCCTCTTCGCAGATGGGCTAATGGTGCAGATCACCGTGGAAACCATGGCGGAGCTCCGTCGATCACTACGGGAGATGAAAGACCACACTGTCACCTGTGGACGGCTGGACCAATCAGAGAGCCAGGAGCTTGTTTGTGTACAGTGGGTGGAGGAGAAATGCACTGTGAATAAGGGGTGAGTGTGTCCAACTGTTTGAAGTGCAGGAAGGCTTTTGTGTTCAGTCCAGTAGAACAATATAGCACCCATTCAAAAGGTAGCTGTGAAAAACTAACGGCGGGCCATTAGTTGCTTAGAATTTGGAACACCCCAACAAAGAGCTGCAAAAAAGCGTGTAAGAGTCCAGTGTAAGCAGGACACACCCTTTTCAGTCTGTTTTAAACTGTGTGTACATGTAACCGCATATCAATGTTTGTGTTCTCCAGCATCATCAGCCCCATCGATGGGAAATCAATGGAGTCTATCAGCAGTAACAAGATGTTCCAGAAGTCCGAATACAAAGAAAATGGAAAGATCATCCGCTGGACAGAAGTATATATAATGATCTGCTAAAAAAAAAGCTAGCATGTCCATGTGTACAGCCACCCCTCTTTACATTTGCGTGAATATTTTGTGCAGGTGTTTTTCCTGCAGACAGGTGATAATCCCAAAGGAGCAGTGACTGACTCTGCTGAACACAACCGGCTCACGGAGAGAATCGCCCGGGCATTTTGCTTGGCACTGTGTCCACACCTTAAACTGCTGAAAGAGGACGGGATGGCCAAACTGGGACTGCGTGTCACTTTTGACTCCCAAGAGGTCTTTAAAGAATTTAGCTTCTTGTAGCCAGAGAGAGAGAGAGATGTATAACTAACTAACTAATGTGTGATCTATTTCTGCCAATTTGTCTGGTTAAACTGGCCTTGTAAGCATCAGCCCTGAGCCATGTAAGGTCACATCAACAATAATAATCAAAAATAAAATACAAACAATAGTCAGGGTTCTTTATGGTAAAAACGTAGCAGTGCACTAGTAATTTAGATGGAGAGCAGAGTTCATTTTTAACTATTTAAAATTTGTTCACTGGTCGAGACAAATTAAAAAACACATTTTTAAGTGACGGAAAAATAAGAAAAAAAAAGACACTAATGCAAAAATGTTTTTAGCTAATTGAATGTGTATTGGAGCAGGCCGGTGATTTATAGTAGCAAAACCTTCCATTCATAAGAAGATGAACAGCAATGACTGAGAACCAGATCGCATACAGTGTGTGGTGATTAAGACGGATTTACCCAAGCTTCCATATCGTAGGCTGGACGTGCAGACTGTGGTCTATAGACAGATTATCTGAGATAATGTGCTACACCCACTTCTGCAAGTAACACGAGCTTTGTTGTGAAATAAAACAGCTTGTGTTACTTCCCAGTATGAACTTTGACTACAGCAACACGTCGTTCTCTTGTGGAAAAAAAAAATAGAAAACCTAGCCTAGAATTTTATCTCATTAGTAAAGAAAGCTTTGAACAAAGTTTAGAACACCACTGTGGCTTTTTAAAAAACTAATAAGTGGCTTATTTGTTATTTCAGGCTGGATTTGTGGCAGGAAGCAATGGGCAGCCCCTCCCAGCTCAGTACCTCAATGCGCTGAATAGCGTGCTGATTCCTGTCATCCACAGCAGGGGGCGCAAGAGGGACGGCGAGCCCATAGTGATGGAGCTCATTTTTTACATCCTTGAGAACATCACTTAGAGAACTCAGACTTTCCACTAATTCATCTTCTTAACCCTGACCACTGCTTCATCTCCAGCACTTCTCACCAGTTTCAGGGCAATAAAAGCATTCCAAAGGCAAAGCGGATCATATCCAAGGTCCGCATCCATCTCATCCAAGAGATCTGACTCTTTGTGGTTTTCTGATCTCACTCGGCCCAGCCACAATCAATCAGGCTACGCATGAAACCTACGATGGACCATTAGATAAGGGTGCAGCTCTCGCACTGTAGTAGCAATTTCATGGCTTGAAATCATCAATGTCACAATGTTTAATACATATTTTACAGTCAATACCTTTAAAGTGATAGCTCACAACCTTAAAGCTAAGAGAATGACTTGAAGTTATGTATCAAATCCAAATAGCAGCTTCATGCGCACTGAATGAATGCCTGGAGAATGTTTTAATATTTGATGAATTTTAACTGACTGCTCATGAAATGTAATGTTAGCTTGGAATTAAACTTGCAACAGTGACCGAGTTCTTGTCTATTGCCAAGGACCCTGAGCGGTTTTACTGAAATATTGCCATTTTTCATCAAAAGGAAGGTTATGCTTTTTACCGTTTACCGCCCCCCAAACTCATTCCTAGAGACTTGACTTTTGCTCCTGTAAGACCTAGAAACATGTACTTGTGACCTCCTTAGGTTGCTTTTGGAAATTTACAGTTTTTAGTATAACCATCAAAAGGCATTATATTGTAGCTATAAACGATTTAGGTCTCCCACCATTTAAAAAAAAAA